CCCCCCCACCACCACCCCCCAATGGTTGACATAAAGTTACACCCTTGCATACAAGCGGATAGACAAACATTCTTCAAACAAAAAGTGTCTTCTTCCTGAGGTGTCAGGCCCTTAAAATAAACTGGGCTAACTGAGACTCAAAATGCTTAAATAAATACTGGTTTTTATCTTCATCAATTAAATGAAAAAAATCGGAGTAAACATCAAGAACTTTACCAAATAATTAATTTTCTTAAAATCATATATAGAGGAAAATAAAACAAAAAACTGTATTTCATTTTCAGTTTCCCCCAACTCACACTAAGAACATACAGTATATGATCCTCCTCTGGGACTGAATGAAAACATCCAGTTTCCAGAGGCAAAGTGTCAGATCTAAATTGTGCACAGACCGACCTTTGTTTTTAGATAGGTTCCATGTAGCATAAGGCTCAGAACCAAGTTTCAAAATAAAACTGTTTAATCTCTTCAATATTATATTATTATTCCTATAAATAAACTGAAAATCTGCCTCCTCAAATATTTTCTCAATTTGTCTGGCCCAGGTATACATTTGACAAAACCCAATAAAAGTATGTTTTGTTAATCTATGATCTGACATATTGATGAACCTGTTCCACAATCTCACCATATCTCCAGTATATCTAACTTCACATGGTTCCCTTGTCTCCATATAGGGCCAGTTTAGGGGTATTTCTATGCAGACCTAAGAAATAACACAGGGCTCTGTACTGAACGTTCTCACTGTAAAGTTGTTGACAGTAACCTCAGACTCCTGCTCTGTAAGCTGATACTGGACAAACACAAGTTCTCTACAGCTCAGTATACGTCTTATAACCCAGGTCACAACAACAACAATATACAACTGATCTACAACAATGTTATCACATGGCACAAAAAAAGCAACAAGTCCAATTCATTTCAACCTAATGATATAAAGCAGCTAGATTACAGGCTGTTAGTAAGAAGATATTCATCTATAAAACCATCAGCAAATTAACACTTTGCCACAATTCCCCTTCAGTTCAGTGTCTGAACTGAAAGCTCTGCCTCTCATTATACTTTTAGAAACTTTAGGAACCACAAGTAAACCTGAAGTCTGAGAGCCAAGTGCTCTGTTAGGAAAGTATGGAACAATTCATTACAATTTACAAAAATAGAGTTTGGGGTTTTATTTGAGTATTTATTATTTATATATTTGCAGAATGTTATTTATTGGAAATCACCTTACTGTATTGGTTCATAAAAGTTAAGGTAAGCAGATAAAGGTAGAAAAAGAGAAAAGTTGGTGATGGGTACTTGGTGAGCGGGCTTTAACAGTGAACATTTGCTCTGTGGACTCGTCTCACTTTTAGGAGAATAATTAGGTTTTCAAGGATTTGTTATCATTTATCATTTGGACTCTGATCTTGTCTGCTTTCGTTCATAAATGAGTAGGTGGTCCACTTTGAGTTTAGGACCTCTGTTAATAAAAACGTCTGCCTGCAGCTGTCAGAAACAAGCACAATGACATCACTTTAAGTAAACCAGAGTTGTACAGAAATCGTCTGGAAAACTTCAACAATAGGCCAAAAGTTTTCAGATAATTTGCAGAACTTCAGAGGAAGACATGGTTGGGTGGTTACTGTCTGTTGGATTATCTGCATGGTTTAGTTAGTACACCAATATGGTGTTTATTAAGCTTTATAAGTATTTTATCTCTAAATGTTAAAAGGTTGCAGCTACACTATCTGTCTCCACTCTGGAGTAAAGTTTTTAAAGCCTTTTGTCAGTTATTACCTTTTATTTTACTGCACACTCAAAAAAACATTATTTTTTTACATTTCCTTTAACAAAGACATCACCCTTTCCTTGATTTGTGGGCCTTGAAATCATCTGAAAGTTTTATTTATTCTTTGTTTAATTTTTTTTGAAATCTTGTTGGATTCGTTGTTTTGTTTTTTTCACAAAGAGGCAGGTGTACCTTTGCCTGAAAAAGATCCTAGAAAAAGTTTGATGTTCGTGGAAAAAATAAAATTGAAGTCTAAGAATATCACCAGGCCTTATGCCCTACATGTTATAAAAAAAAATATTTTAATTTGAGAGTATTTGCACTGATTTGTTAAGTAATGTTTAAAGCAGAGATTCTTAACCTATGGGCCGCAATCGCCACCTTGAGGGCCTCAGAAGAACAACAGTTTTTAACTTTGGGCCGCAGAGGGCCATGGGACCGCATTGATTTTGAATAAAGTTCAATACACTTTCTCACCACTAGTAGTGGTAGTGCACCACTCAGTTGTTTAACAACTTTTTTAATATGTAGAAGAAGAAACTTAGATACCTGCTGAAAATGGAAACTTATTTTAAATGAAAAATAGAAGCAAAAATGAAAGTAATCCATCAAAAAAGGCCAAAGTTTGTCACTAATATGAAGTACAGCTTTTGGTTCAATCATGCAATATTTTAAAAGTTCAAAACATTATCAAATACAGTTGCAGATACAACTATATGTTAATTTACACTTTATCAAATTATTTTTTGTAGTTTATTTTTAAATATTTTTAATGTATTTTAAAGAAACTTTAAACTTGTCAAAAAGCTGTTGTTACTGTTGTTTGTCACTAATATGAAGAGCAGCTTCTGTTTCTACCATGCAAAAGTTTAAAAGCTTATATTTTCATTTGTACTTTATCAAATGTCGATAAGCCTG